ATTGCAATCTCCTTTCTCTCTCTCTTCTTTAGAAACAAATTGCTTTCATCTGTTTAATTTAATGATGAATTAACAATATCTTGCCTAAGTCCTCTATGATTGAACTATTGAAAATTGAAGCTGAACAAACTCTGATACTGGTTGAAAAAGTCAGGACTAAACTAAACCTACATTTATTTCTAAGAAAAAGGGGGAAATACAACCACGGTGTATGAGGTAGCTGGAAAAATCGTAATAATTCATTATACAAGAGTAAAACGACATAAGGATATTTTAATACTCCAGTTCAGAGCTGACACTAAACTAGACCAGCTGCAGCTTCTTCTTAACGGAAGTGACAGCCTGAAGGACCAAATCCCTGTATCGCAGATGTGCTGTCTCTGTCCTCAATAGGTCTTTGTCTTGGCACTTCTCTCCACAGGTCCCTTTGAAGTGCCCAAGGTAAGCCAGGCTTGGACTTACCCTTTTCACAGCCTCGCACATACCTGCAGAAAACAATTGATTTAAGTATATTTCTGATATGGCTTATTTATTTTCTTCTTATTTTCTTATTATTTCTATTATTATTATTATTCCTGGTCTATTACTAAAATTAAATGATTGAAGTAAATGGGAAAATGTGCGACTGAAACTTATTAAGTGTGTCGAGCAGATCGACATTTTTAGATTATAAATTAGTCAAGAAATGCAAGGACAATAACCATCCTATTGTAATGATGATGGTAATAATTATCATGAAAATAATAATCATGATAATGTTTGATAATGATAAGGATGATGATAATGGTAACAACAATAACAATGATGAGAATGATGATAATGATGATGATATTGATAATGATGAAAATGATGATAATGATGATGAAAATGATGATAATGATAATGATGAAAATGATGATAATGATAATGATGAAAATGATGATAATGATAATGATGAAAATGATGATAATGATGAAAATGATGAAAATGATAACGGTTACAACTACGATAACGATAATAACAGTAACAGCAATAATAAGAAGAATAACGATGCCAAGTGGGGGAGAAAGGGAAGGAAAGGGAGGAGGAAGAGGAAGGGGAGAAAAAATAAAAAGGAGAAGGAAAAAGATGGAAAAATAAGAAGAAAAAGAAGAATGGACAATCAGGACAAGGACAAGGGAAAGATAGAAAAAACGAAAAAGAAAAGAGCAATAACCAACGATAATAATAAAAGGAACAACAACAATAGTAACAATTATAAATAATTTCTTGCCGCCTGAACAATGAAATATATATATATATATATATATATATATATATATATATATATATATATAATAAATAAAACCTTAATAAATAGTTCATGAATAATTCAACTGCAAACACTGCAACGACAAAAAGGTCGCCAGCATATTGCAAGGATCTCTGCAATGCCCCCGTTCTACGCGTCCATCTTGCCTCCCGTTCTCAAGTGATTCTGGGGCCGGATTCTCAAGGGCGTTAAGGCTCCGTATCTCCTTAAGGCGCCTTAACTTACGAGCGATCTTACGGCCCACACACAGAGCAAGGGACCCGCCATGTTGGTGCGAGTGAAGGCGCCTTAGGTTAAAGGGGGAGAGCAGCCTTCAGCGCTTCACGGCGGGCGGGAAAGCAACTCCCTTCGCTCTTAAACAAGGGAAATACAGCAGGACGGTTAAGGGCTCCAGCGCGTCCTAACTCGAGGCTCCTTTGAGAATCCGGGCTCTGGCTAGCCTCGGGACGGCTGCCCTGCCAATCAGTCGCTGTATGAGCGGCTGTTTTCTCTGATTATTGCACCTGATGAACAATTCTCGCAAGGCGGTGTGAACTCTAGCTAGGTCGGGACTGTGAGCGGTAAGAGGACTTTTGAAACAGTGGTCGGAACATTTAGGGAAAGGTATGGAGCGGTTTGGCCGGTATTGGAACGGGGAAGGCGAGATCAGCAGCAACTCGAGGTGTCACGGCGTCCCACAGGGCTATTTTGATGATTGTTCAGGGAAAATATAACCATCAAAATCATTGTTTTCCTTCCCTTTTGAAAACTGAAAGGACCAGAATGATCGACCATATTCACAAAGCATCCGGGACTTTGGTGACGTCATCGAAATGAACCCCACGTGATCTTTCCAAAAATAGAATCAGACGCCATGACACCTCCTCGAGTCGCTACTGATCCAGCCTTCCCCGCATTGGAACGGCTGGGACGATATCAGGACGCCATTACAGAGATTTCGGAACACTACCGGAGAGTAAAAAATGTTATCTTGGACCGGCTCAGGAGGTTGCAGGATCGGCATGAGAAGAGGAGGGAACGGCATGAGAACGCTACAGGTGTGGGATGAATTTGGGAGGCCGTTCCCTTCCCGTCCGTTCGCGTTGCCTTGTCCGTTCAATTGCCGACGTGTTAAGGACTCGACGCCGTTCACTCTGAACTGGAGGGGAACGGCTGACATTTTGGAAAGGCAGCCGGAACTCAGCTGTCCCAGCCGTTCCTACCGGTCGAAGGAAGTCCATTAACGTTCCCTGGCGTTCCTTTAAGACCCCGTTACGGTCTCCTTCCGATCTCTCCCGTTCCTGTTCGGTTCCTCGATCGGCACGGGGTTGGGAGCTAGAACGGATGTGTAGAATGGGGACATAACGACAAAAAAGGAAAAAAAGAAAATTGAATCTCACCAACACTTGTTATATTGGCTCTTCGTAATGACAAAAAGAAGAAGAAATGTGTCATATGAATGTTCTGTAATGACATAAAAGGCAATTTGGTTGTCTGTATCGACAAAAAAAAAAAAAAATGTCATATAGGATTTCTGTAAAGACAAAAATAATTCATGTGTTTTCTGTAAAGACAAAAAGAAAAAATGCCAAATCTGTTTTCTGAAATGACAAAAAAAAGTCATTTTGGTTCTCTATAATAACAAAAAAGAAAATATCCTATGGGTTCACTGTAACAACAATTAAAAATCAACACGTCGCATTGCCTCCTTGTAACGACAAAGGAAGAAGAAAAACGTCATGTGGATTCTCTGTAACGACAAAAAATCAATCAATTAACCAGGAATAAAAGAAGAAGAAAGAAAAATCACAGGAACCTCACCCACGCACGTCACGGGCGCGTGCGAGAACACTCCACGCGCGAAGTCCATGTCGAAGATGGGCTTGGAGTGGCCCGTGACGAACGCGGGGTCCTCCTTGAGCCGCGCGGTGTGCCTGAGGACCCACAGGAAGGGAGGGAGATCGCGCACCTCTTCCACGGGCGGGAGGTCCTCGTAGAAGTTGATCATCTGCAGATTGTAGGCTGGGTAGGCCTTGCCCGAGGAGGTCCTGCGTGGGGGGGGGGGGGGGGGGGTGAAGGGTGAGAGGGGGACGCGATGTCAAAATCCTTTCTCTTTCTCTCGCTCTCTGTCTCGTTCTCTCCATTCGTTCATTCTCTCTCTCTCTCTCTCTCTCTCTCTCTCTCTCTCTCTCTCTCTCTCTCTCTATCTATCTATCTATCTATCTATCTATCTATCTATCTATATATATATATATATATATATATATATATATATATATATATATATATATATAATACACACACACGCACCATATCATGGTCTTTGTCTCTGAACACTTAAAAGAGCCTCTATATCCATTCTAGTTACAGTATGTCTCTTGATGATTATAGATACTTATGGCCGTATGCTTAAAGAAATTATGTAACGCAAATTGACACAATTTTCTTATGCCAGAATCCTCACGATTGTAGGAAGCCTTAACGTGACTTCAGGACTGCCAGTTTCAACATAAATATTCTTATCCTCTCGCCTCAGTGTGGTATATCAGGCCAATTCTTTCGCGGTATTGTCCCTCAGTAGAGGATTTGTGCTTCAAAGAGTGGATTCCATGTTCTTTAAGGATACGACCGGTTTATGTACTTAAATATGTTTTGTGTTGTGAGTTGTACACAACGCGGGAGAACTCATAACAAAAAGCATGCCCTTATATCTACAGCAGATTATGACAGTATCGTCCCCAGGCACTTAAAAACGCTACTATTTAGTTCATCTACAGCAATGTATTACAGTTCAGTTCAGTCAGTTCAGTTAGATTTGCGGTCTTGCTTCGCCCGGGCCTTTTCTCTAGAGTGGCCCGGCCTGTGTCAACTATTTCAAGTCAACTCAAGTGTTTTCTTTGAACTGTTTGCTATCGTGGTGCCTGAATTGCAAGCAAGCGATCCAGCTGCCACGGAGGAAGCATGTGGCAAACCCTTTTTACCAGCTCGGCGGCTGTGGTGGGTAGTCCCTGTCTTAGAAATTGTGTTCACAAGTCTGCAAATAATGTAACAGGGTGGCGTTAGACTCGCTGCAGTGTACGCATAACCTGGCAGTC